TCTGGGGGTCTGGGGCTCCCCTTTCCTGTCCCGGGGAGGGGGGGGGTTGCGCAGACAGCGGCGCGGCAATGTGATGACGTCATGCTCGTTTGCTAATTTTCGTTGGGGAGTTCTGTCCACTCTTTTGGCTTTCGATAGCAATATTTGCACCAGAATAGGGGTTTGTTTTGGGGCGCCTATCTCTCTGGATGCCAGAGCTGGTCGATGGCAGATATAGAAGAATGCTCCCAACCACACAAGCTTCTATAGGCCCTTGCTCCTCACGCCTCTATGAGGGGACCAGGTTCTGGCTCATGGTCCCTGGTAGGCATGAACTGCATGCACTTTGACTGATGCCAGAAAGCTAATAGTTACATATCAGCCTGGATAGCTCTTGGGAGCCTCTGGGTATTGCCTAGAAAATGGCGTTTCATTACAGTCAACGCTGGTTTTTTGGGCTTAGACAGTAGCTAGACCATTTTGCTCTAGCTACTGTCTAAGGGTTAATTAAAGAGTAATGTAAAGATGAGTTTAGTGAGCCCTTGTTTTGCATATTTAATAAATCCTTAGTCAATCATAGTGCCAGAATTGTGGTGGGTTGCAAATGTAGTGCCAATTTATAAAAAGGGGAGATAGATCACTTGTATTGAACTATTGGCCAATTAACTGAATGTGTGTTTAGGAAAATACTCTAACTTGAATTGTTCATGAATGCCTTTAGCAATTATCATCTTGAAAGACGAATATCAATAATGGTTGCAGAACACGGTTGTACTAAGGGCTCTTCATGTTTAACAAAGTTACTCATTCTTATCCAACATATTCCAAGTAGTAGATAGAGCATGTCGAACATGTAGAGGATTCCAACATTTTATACCATGGCTCTAGCATAGTCTGTAATACTGCGCCTCTTGAAAGACTTGTTAGTTAGGATAAATGGAGTTGTCAGTGGGGAAAGGGGTTGCAGGTGCAGACTTGTGGTTTTTAATACAAGAATTGTTTAATTCTCATTTATACAGAAATAAATAACAGCATTTCTAAATTTACAGATAAAACAAAAATAAGGCAGAAAATATATTCAGAACACTTAAAATCACTAAAATCACATTTATATAAGCTTTTAAAAGGGAGGAAAGATTTTCAGAAGCAATTTAATGTTAACAAAATAGGGTGTTGAGCTTAGCTAAAATAACTGGTAGATCATGTTTATGGAATACTTGGTGCTGAATAACCTAACTGGTCCAGTACCTGGCCTAATGCCTGAATCCTAGGAATTGGATAACAAATTGGTTTCATCGATTCTGGAAGGCCCAAACTGGTACAGTACACCAGTCCATCTTTTACCTAGCCTCTCAAGTAGAGTCACTCAAGTAGAGGATAGTTTGATCCAGATTATCCTACTTAGTTTTAGCAATCAAGGTAATAAGAAAATCCACCAGGGCTGTGAGGTGGCACGAACCTACGAGCCCGGCATTGCCAGTCGCATACTCTACTAGTGGACCACCACTGATTTGTAAAAGTCGTTCAACCTGATTTCTACTGAAATCACAGGAAGTCTGGAGGCCCCTACTGAAGCCAGTCCAAGTTTTTATGTATGTCCCACAAGCACTCTGGTGGAAGGGCAGAGTGGTCCCTCAAGCACTCGGGTGGAAGGGCAGAGTGGTCCCACAAGCACTCTGGTGGAAGGGCAGAGTGGTCCCACAAGCACTCTGGTGGAAGGGCAGAGTGGTCCCACAAGCACTCGGGTGGAAGGGCAGAGTGGTCCCACAAGCACTCGGGTGGAAGGGCAGAGTGGTCCCTCAAGCACTCGGGTGGAAGGGCAGAGTGGTCCCACAAGCACTCGGGTGGAAGGGCAGAGTGGTCCCTCAAGCACTCGGGTGGAAGGGCAGAGTGGTCCCACAAGCACTCGGGTGGAAGGGCAGAGTGGTCCCACAAGCACTCGTGTGGAAGGGCAGAGTGGTCCCACAAGCACTCGGGTGGAAGGGCAGAGTGGCCCCACAAGCACTCGGGTGGAAGGGCAGAGTGGCCCCACAAGCACTCGGGTGGAAGGGCAGAGTGGCCCCACAAGCACTCGGGTGGAAGGGCAGAGTGGCCCCACAAGCACTCGGGTGGAAGGGCAGAGTGGCCCCACAAGCACTCGGGTGGAAGAGCAGAGTGGCCCCACAAGCACTCGGGTGGAAGGGCAGAGTGGTCCCACAAGCACTCGGGTGGAAGGGCAGAGTGGTCCCACAAGCACTCGGGTGGAAGGGCAGAGTGGTCCCAGAAGCACTCGGTGGAAGGGCAGAGTGGTCCCACAAGCACTTGGGTGGAAGAGCAGAGTGGTCTATTATAGTGTGGTGGGTTGGTGGTGTTGTCGTCGTTGATCCTTCTTTTTGGACAACCCAACCCACAACTTGGTAGAGTGCTTATACTTTACCAGGAGATCACACTGGGCACTTCTGGCTCTTGGAGAGGGGGCTCAACGTCACACATTTAGGGGATGCGGCTCCAAAACTTGGCCTCGTTGTCATGTGCACACACCCACTCAAGCCGCTGTGACTCCCCACTCTCTCCTTGTGTGATATGATCTCCTCAATCCCCTTTGACTTATTAGTTTTCTGTTCTGCCCTGTCCACAGCAGTGGTTCTTGGTTCTTTCTCTCTCTCTCTCTCTCTCTCTCTCTCTCCCCTTCTTTACTACTTCCTGGGAAGCCTCACTAGGACACAATCAAACACCAGTAAATTGGAATACATTTACTGGACAGAGCACATACACAATACATACACACATATAATAATAATGAATCCTACACTCTATACTATTTCAGTCAGGTTGCACTCCAACACCATCAGGGCTCTATCATCAGCTTATCAAGTGGTATTCTATCTCCTGATTCACCACCTAATATTACCAACCTCCTCAAGTAGGTCAAGTCCTATAATACAATGTTGCACTATCAGCAAGAGAATATATATATCTATAAACATGTACAAGGAAAATCAGCATATGAATGCAATAACACATATATCAGTATAAATGTTCCTTGATACACAACAATGATCAATCGATCACTCCATCAGTCCTAGAACACATACATCTGTAGGTAATCCAGCCTACGATTGTAACTCTAAACTTCAGTATAAAACACTCCTTGACATAAGAATGCAAACAATCACCCACCTCTCACTGCATCTTGCATGCTAATGACAACCAAACACTCGATTACCTCCATACACGTAATCATTTAGAACTTCCCTTCCACATCTGGAAGTTCACTAGCCCGATATCTTCAGGTTCTTCCGGGTTTAACTACCAGGATCCTCTGCAGCACTTCTTGGCTGCTACCATGAAGTTTCCTTGGACAACTATGGTGCTTCAATACTTCTACTAGGGTCCTCCACAGCTCTCCTGGCTGCTACACCATGAAGTTTCCTCGAACAACTGTGGTGCTTCACCACCTCTACAGAAGCACGTGACACTCCTCTTCACTGCTTCTCCTCACAGCTCGAGGTCCTCTGCTCCACTACCTTGGAGTCTCGTCAACTACTCCCTCTGTGGTGGCTTTGAAGTTCTCAGCAACTTCTTCCCCAAAGACAAACCTGCAACCCTTTGACACTCCAATAAAAATGTTTCCCCTTAAACTCATAAACAAAAATAACCACACAATATGTTTGCCTCCAACATCTATCTGCTCTCTACATACAGTGAGAGTGGACTCCCCCATTTTGGGCAATAAAAATGTTTCCCCTTAAACTCTTAAACAAAAATAACCACACAATATGTTTGCCTCCAACATCTATCTGCTCTCTACATACAGTGAGAGTGGACTCCCCCATTTTGGGCTGGTCCATGCTCCACCTTGCCCGGCGGGCCTCACTCACTCTGGGAGGGTCCTCAGCCGCCAGGAACTTTCAGTCACCTGCCAGCGCTCAGAGGGGACGGACGTCGCTCCGTGTTCCTCCCTCTCCACTCTTATTTTAGGCCTTCTGCCTTATCAAAACATGTCTAACTTATCAATAAACATTGCTACTGTCGCTGGGCACACGACCAACTACAAGCAATCACTATGAACTGGCTTAAATTGTGCTTACCACAGATTGTCTGGTCGAGGGCGCTCCTCCCTCTGACAGAGCCTGGTCAGGGCACTCCAACGGCCTACGATAATGTCTCTGGGCGGCTTAATAAACACTCCTCGCCGTCCAGGACTTGAGACCACAACGTTCCCAGCTCAGTTCCACAGCTGGCACGTCTGCACACTTCTCTTCTCTTGGAGATATATCACTAGGGGTTCCTTTCTGACGGGAGCTCGAACGGAGCGCGGCTTCCCCCTGCGATGTTTGGCGCTCGAGTGAGGTCAAAGCCCTCCAGAAGCGAGCCTCACGCCTCCAGCAAATTATCCACATCTCCTAACCAGTCATTTATCTGTTTTCTTATTCACTGCCCATGATCTTAAACTCTGCGTAAAATTTACCCAATTATTTTTTACATAGGAATCTTCATGTCTGTATTTCCGACCTCCTAGTCAGGTCAGGCTTGATAGAATAATTCTCAAAGGAGAGACTCGTTTTTCGGCTACCTGGGATCATAACAGGTCCCACAAGCACTTGGGTGGAAGGGCAGAGTTACTCAAGCACTTGGGTGGAAGGGCAGAGTGGTCCTACACCTTACACCCCAACTTCAGAAACAATGTAATCAAGTTAATGCCGTATTCACAATGGTTTGAAACTATGGTATAGTACTGTACTTGCAGTACTCTAAGATAAATTGTTAAAATCAAACTGGGATCGAGGATATACAGGTTTCTCGTGCTACCAACTCTGTCTTGATAAAGTTTAGGATGTATTTTGATTTTGCTGTGGGTAGATAGGTGACAAGTAATAGTAGCAGAGTTTTTATTGTTGAGATAAGCACCAGGAACACAAGATAGGAGGCAGTAATAATGGGTATATCGCTGTCAGTTGTGTGTAGTGTGTGTGTGTGTGTGTGTGTGTGTTTAGGTAAAATGGTGGGCATATTTTATATTTGTATCTTTCTTTACTCAGGATTGAATATGATGCTTACCGGAGTGACTTGGAGATGCTTTCACAACAGCCACGTTCAGAAATTAGCTCCATCAAGTTGGAAGAAGCCCAGAGAAACTTCAATGGACACAAGGCTCACTATGATAGACTCAGAGCAGATGTAGCCATTAAACTTAAATTCTTGGATGAAAATAAGGTGTGTTTTGTGTAGTACTGTAATGGGGAATAACTAGTTCTCTGTGAGTGTTTAGAGAGTAAGAAATTGTGGTTTCTTTTTAATATCTTTAATCTTTTTTCCTATATTGCTTCCCTATCTTTCTCATGCTGATGCTGCCTTACCACTTGAAAGCTGGAATTATGGTAATAATGAGGGTTAATAATGTGCACTGTACTAATAATTTTAGATGAGATAATGGCCTAGTTAGAAGTTTGTGCAATGAACATGTTAACCATACTTTTCTGTGCTTGCAGTTTATAACTCTCATTCATTTAGGGTAAGTTGTTTAGTCATGTTGTCCTACCTGTCGCTTCTTTTAGTAGGAAACATCCAAGCAAGGATGCTCTGCAGCAGGCTCCAGGAATATCAAACTGCCTAGGTATTGGGAATGGTTGAGGGCTGTAAGTGGTGTCCCAGGTTACATAAAGGCATACGGGAGTTAAAAAGAAATAAGGTACAAGAAGTGATTTGTGAGTGAAAATTCTGTGTTGGAAAAGTTTATATTCCGAAACAAAAAGAGTTGTCAATAACAAAGATGGCCGCTACCACCGGGACTGTAAACATACCAATAGATGAATGTTTCGAAGAATTCTCACCAAGATACAATGAAAGGAGGTTTTCTTGGCAGGTTTATTGAGGACATGCTAAAGTATTGATATGCAGATTATTGAGGACATGCTAAAGTATTGATATGCAGATTATTGAGGACATGCTAAAGTATTGATATGCAGATTATTGAGGACATGCTAAAGTATTGATATGCAGATTATTGAGGACATGCTAAAGTATTGATATGCAGATTATTGAGGACATGCTAAAAAAGTATAAAGAAAAAGTAATTGAATTAGAAGAAAATGGAGCTCTCAGGAGTTAGTTTCACCCATTAAAGGAAATGTTCTTCAGCAAGGTAAGAAAATTACCGCTTTAAAGGACAAGATAAAGATTCAGGAGGAACAAATCAAGGAACTAGTAGAAGAAAAATGAGGTATGGAAAGTGAAGAATGGTGAATTTTACAAAATTAACAAGAAAATATTTATATGGTGGACAAATCCAAGGAACCCAGAGGGCTAACATAGTTAGGCAAAGATATGCAAAGAGAAACTTCATTGACAACTCGCATAGAGGAGGTTAATAAAGAACTAGAAAGTACAAAGAGGGAATTAGGGAGACGTATGCGCAAGTTGTAAAAGAGAGAAAGACGATCAAGGAAGTGTGTTGAAAGTCAAAACCAGAAATGACCAACAGGAAGCCGAAATTAGTACAAAACGCTGCAGATATTGTGGAAGTAAGTCCATAATAATTTTTGGGTGTTTAGAAAAGGAAATTATCATCTAGGGTGGACAGCAGTAGTAGAGTTGAAAATCATTGAGAAAACAGTAGGTTTAGAGGAAGGCCTCAATTCAAATGAAAATGTCAGTGATTTTAGGAGGATAGGAAAATATGAGAAAGACAAAAGTCGTTAAGGTTGACATTTAATGGAGTGAAACAAATGACGGAAGTGATTAGAAATATCAGGTAATTGCAGTGTGATGAGGATGACAAACTTTGGTCAGTAAGACAAGACCTCTCAAAGGAAGACAGAGAAAAGGTGAATACAAACCTCGATGAAGTGAAACGTCTAAATGGGAATAGAAATGAAGAAAAAATAAATTTTTCTTCCTACAAAGTGTTAGGGACTGGAAAGCTAGTGAAATGGTACATGAAAACAAAGCAATAAAATCATTATAGGAAGGGGGAGTAAAGGACAAAGGAAAAGGGAACATGTTCCTGAAAATTGTATATACCAAAGTAAGGTTTCATCCCCAACTCTTGGTGGTCAGATGACCTGCCACTTCCCTGGCCCACCACATTTTCCTCTTCACTTTTTATCTTGCTCTGATGATGGCAAATTGAGCCAAAAATGGGTTCAGCATTCTCTAATTCTTTACATGTGGTTATTTCGCATATCAACATGGATGGAGTAAGATAAAAAATATTGGAGCTAAAAGATATAATTCAGCTTAAGGTCCCAGATATTGTTGCACCGACAGCAGCGAAACTTGAAGAAAATATTTTATATGAGGTTGTATTTTAAGGGGCTACTTAGTTTGGAGACATGACAGGAAAACTAGGAAGGGGAAAGGAGTGGCTGTGCTGGTGAAAGAACACCTGAAGGTAAGAGAGTTAATAATCAAAAACTCTCGAAGATGACATAATGGCATTGCAGGTTTGGAATTAGGATGCTAAACTGATAATCATAAAGGCCTACAGCCCACCAGCAAGCAATATATGGGCAAAGGAGGAACTATATGACAAATGAGGCAGCCTCATTATGGTTATGAGAGAAATTATAGTAAAAGCAGTTAAGATAAATCACGATTGTTGGTACTGAGGAACTTCAACTTGAAAGCAATACACTGGAAGGCCTACGAAGCAAGAGTGAAGGACATTTAGACATGCAGATTTGTAGATTTCATTCTAGAGACATTCATGTATCATCACATCAAGCAGGCCACAAGAATGAGGGAAGGGGATGTTCCGTTAATACAGGATTTAATATTCACCAGGAAGAAGAGGAAATATTTGACATCCAGTACCTTCCTCCCTCAGGAAAGAGTGATCATGTTCTGTTGGAAATTAAATTTGCTTTGCGATATAATCTAGAAAAGAATGGGGACATTGAGATAGTTGATAAACTAGATTTCAAGAGAGGACACTGGGGAACTTAGAAAATTCTTTAATGAGTTTAATTGGACAAACTTGTTTAGGCAAGGAAGTAAATGAGATTTATGGCAAATTTTGCAAAATATATACGATGAAGGCACAAACATTCATACCAAAACAGAAATGAAAGACCAGAAAACAGGATTGGTTCAACAGAAATTGTGAGAGGGCCAGAGAGGAAAAGACAAGAAAATGGGTTCAGTATCAGAAGAGGCCTAACCCACAAACATACCAGCACGAGAAGCAAGAAACAAATACACAGCAGTGAGGAAAGAGCCAGAAAGGAACTTTGAGAAAGGTATAGCAGACAAATGTAAAACAGTTCCAGGTCTTTTCTATAAATTCATTAAAAGCAAGCAGCATGTAAATGATAAAATCCAGTGATTGAGAATGGGGAAAAGGACTACTGAGAATGAAAAAGAAATATGTGAAACACTAAATGAACAGTTCCAAAAATGTGTTTGTACAAAATGAGGATTTCAGAGAGCCAGACCAAATACCAATTCCAGAGCACACCATAGAATACATAGAGGTATCAAGATAAAGTGGAAAAAATTACTCATGAGGCTAGGAAGAAATAAAGTGGTTGGACCTGATGGAGTTTCACCATGCAAATTTGTAAGGCAGAAACTGAGGTAATAATTATTATAGTATACTTTGGAGGTATGCTAGCAGGCTGTGAGCAAATATTTATATTTTTGGCTTCGGATGCATTTAAGAACTTAATTTTCTATCCCATGAAACTGTGTGCAAAGAATCAATATTCTTGGATGGTTTGCACTAGGCATGAACGTCTTAATTTTGTTGTCATTTGTTGAGAGTGGCTCTGCTAAGATTTTCTGACAGGCAAATATTCTGTTGGTGACAATTTAGATTATACAGATGGTTACAATGTTGCTAGGAAAAGATGCAGGTGGTAACAGTGTAGTTAGACCAAGATGTAGGTGGTAATAGAATAGTTACACAAAGATACAGATGGTAACAATCTAGTTAGACCAAGATGCAGGTGGTAAGTGTAGTTAGACCAGCAACAAATTTAAAATAAAATTAAAATGCTGTACTGTGTTTTCATTTTCAAAATGTGACATATATTTTATGTTTTCCAGGTGAAAGTAATGCACAAGCAGTTATTGCTATTCCACAATGCTGTATCTGCATATTTTAGTGGCAACCAGACGGCTCTGGAAGCCACCCTTAAACAGTTCAACATCAAACTCCGCAGCCCCAACACCGCACCTCCGTCGTGGCTGGAGCAGTGAGTTATTCCTGCCATGTCTTACTGCTTATATGCTCACCGCATTCTTGAGGGCTTTCCTTGGCATTCTTTACAAATTTTGCACCGTTTGCTTTGCATTCTAGTCATGACTTTCTTTTGTGTGAAGTGCGGAAATAACTGTGGGAATTCCTTAGGTGCGCTGTTTTCTTTTGAAACTTGATATGCTCATTTTGGCACGTGTCCTGTATACTGTATTATATATTGAAATAAAATATAGTATTTCTTTGTTATATTTGCAAGGATGCTCACTGAAGTTATAATTTATTATTAATTTGTACCAAATACTTAAAGCTTGAATAAGCAAAATATATCCTTCCATTGACTGAGGTTGAGCCATTGGAAGCTAGTAATGGATTTTTCTAGTGTAATAATTCAAATTTGTCTGTTTACTTACTATGACTTATGGTTTAATTGAATTTCTTCAGGTGAAAGTCTGAACCATTGCTCGCGAGGTGCCAGTAGGCACGAAAGTGCCGGCTGCTTGTCCTCATATTTAAGGGAATTATTTGAGATTGAGTGCACTGCCAAAATATGCTTTTTTGTTGTTTTTGAAAGACTGTGACACAACAATATAAAACATTATGTGCATGATAAGTTGGCGGCTAAGGAGTTTCCTCTTTGTTTACTTAATGCTGTATGGTTGGTTAATTATACAAAATTCTTTAGTTACTGGATGCCTTTTTTTTTTTTTTTGTGGGCAGGTGACGTTTATAAGTATGTATCTGATTTCTAAAACATTTATATCCATTTGAAGGTAAAAGATCAAATTTGTACATACTACATACTAAGCATACATGTAGTTGCATTTTGAAATATATCGTAAGTATTTACTGAAGTGTATGTAGATGACATTTGTACCATCTGGGTAGAAGGATGACCTCTCTGTAAATGGCTCAGGTGCTTTGGCCGGCTTCTTTACTCAGTGTTTTGTATTCTTCTAAAGTGTGTAGAGCATCAAATATGGGTCTTTGCACTCTCACTTGTATGTATGTACAGTTCAACATGTTCCTTATTTAGGTGAGTGGAGCAGCTTGCATATTGAGCAAATGGTTACGATGCACAGTGCCGAAGCACCCCACCATCTCCTGGCCAGATGTTCACCTTGGGTGTTGCAGTCTTTTAACACTCGTCTATTATTTTAAACCAAAGAATATGACAAATTGTTGTTGTTTGTCCCCCACTTTGTGAAGTAGCAATAAAAATTTCCACGGTGTTCACCTGTGTCTCTTGTTACCATCTTTTAACATTATCCTCTTGAGCGCCTGCTTATGTAATGTTTCGTCAACACACTGTTCAGGGAGGAGTTTGTGAAAATTGCTGTTTGTTATATTTTAGCACAGTGTTATATAGACCTGCAGTGTCTTGCATGGTACCTTGATATTGTAATTGTATTCTTTATATGCACCTTCTGGTAATCTATGGGGGTATATATCTTGGTATCATAAGTGAAATGTTGTAACTTAAGGGGGAAAGGGGTAGCTTGTGTGCTCATTACCTGTCTATTATTTCCAGCAAGGTTATTAAAAGTAGTTTTATTTCATATTGAGTTTGATGAAATAATTCACATTATAACATGGAAACACAAGAGGTTTGTACATTGCACTATGTAAGATATTATTATTTTTGCCCCATGGGTAGTTATTTTCTAATTGTTTATGCCTCGAAAGTTTAGACAATGGCTATTATTTCCCTCAAAGTTGACTTTGACTTTCACCTTAGATGTCTTGAAGGTTACTTGAAGGCTGCCGACTCGTTATCTAGAGCTGTGACAATGTGTCAAATGTCGATGCATTACAAATATAGGTAGAGCTGCAAGATGGGGCATGAGGAGTGTGTCCTTATATTACTATAGTTCCAGAGACTGATAAACATAATAGAGGAGGCAATATTCCAAAGAGAATACCATGTAGCGAGGAAAGAAACAATAAACGGGGGAGTAGGATGAGCCCTACTGACACAATAACTTTGAGGAGATAGAGATTCCGGAGGTAACCAACTAGCAGGATTTTGTACTAGGTATGATAACAGTGAGGACCTTGACGATAATGGCAGGTGTTATTTGCAACCCGCCATTAACTTCTAATAGGTCAAGGGAAGAATATGATAAATGCAACGAAACATACCTCAAGATAATAGCTTATTTCACAGTAGTAAGGAGAGCCAGAGCAAAGAACATAATACTTAGAAGTTTTAACAATGAAAATAGACTGGTCAACAAAGGAGCCTCACAGAATTCTACTGGAATTAATTCCAGATAAGTATAAAGTAATGACAATTGGTAAAGGAGATAGCAAACCTGTACTGTATTTAACTATACTCTAAGGGTAAGGTAATCACAAGAAATAATCCGCGAGCGCTGTGTCATGGGTTCGTATCCTGGCCGGGGAGGATTTACTGGGCACAATTCCTTAACTGTAGCCTCTGTTTAACGCAACAGTAAAATGTGTACTTGGATGAAAAAACGATTCTTCGCGGCGGGGATCGTATTCCAGGGACCGTAGGATTAAGGACTTGCCCGAAACGCTACGCGTACTAGTGGCTGTACAAGAATGTAACAACTCTTGTATATATCTCAAAAAAAAAAAAAAAAATAAAAAAAATAAGGAAAATCCTGGTAGTAGACATAATCCCATCATTAACACCATACGTTCATGTGACCAGGATAACATCAGCAACATACAGGAAATTACCAAACATAAAAACATCATTCAAGAATGTAAACAAGTTTTTAAATCGATACACATTTCTATGCAAGACCAATACTAGACTCAGAAGTTCCAGCATTGAACCCACACCTTGTGAAGCATAAACAGAAACAGGAGAAAGTTCAGAGGTTTGTAACTAGATTATTACCAGAATTGAGAGGCCTCAGTTGCATGCATGCATACATACATACATACATATACACAGTGGGGGCCTCGATTTATGATGCTAATCCATTCCCAGAGACATTTTGCAAGTCAAAATATCATAAGTCGAAACGATTTTTCATATATGAAATAAAGAGAATTGAATTAATCCGTTCCCCACCACCAAAAATATTAACTTAAAAATACATTTTATAATGAATACATTTTTTTTCTCTTAACTACAATACAGTACATATGTTTATCTTACCTTTATGGAGGACTCTTGATGGCATATGGATGATGATGATGACAGGGGGAGGAGAAGTGTTACTGTTTGGAAGGGGAAGTCCCCTTCCATTATCACATCAGGCAGTGATGACTCCTCTGTAGTTCACTCTCTCCTACGTTTTGCCTGCATACCACTAGGACCTGGTTGTGGTTCACTGCTTGTTTGTCTCACTAAAAATTTCTCTTTCCCTTCGTTTTAACATTTATCTGTAGTGATGCATCAGTGGCATTGAAAAGGTTTAGGCAACGGCCTACTGCAGCTTGATTTGGGCGAGTAGTTTCAGCAAAAGTTTGCAGTTCTTCCCATGCTGCACACATTTTCTAATTTTTGAGGAAGGAACATTCTGTATTGCCTCTTCCTCCACTGAAGAAATTTCCTCAGCTGCCTCTTGTTGCTGCTCCTTTTGAAGGGCTTGGAGTTCTTCGGTGGTCAGTTCTTCGCCGTGTTCCTCCTCCAACTCCTCAATATCAGCACCATCCAACTCCAAGCCCAATTGCTGGCTCAGAAAAACAATTTCCTCAACTAGAGGCACTTCAGTTTCAGGCTCAAACCCCTCAAAGTCTCATTCTGAAACACATTCAGGCCACAATTTTCTCCAGCCAGAGATCATGGTTCTTACAGTCACTTCTTGCCAGGCTTTGTCTACGAGTTTTAAAGCGCTACAAATGTTAAAATGTTTTTTTCCCAGAACTCTTTGAGGGCGAGTTGTGGCATCCGTCACTTCGCCACATTTCCGAAAAAGTGCCTCTTCGTAAAGTTTCTTAAAATTGGCAATGATTTTCTGGTTCATAGGCTGAAGTAGAGGAGTGGTGTTAGGAAGGAACTTTACTGTAACAAAACTAAATTCCTCCATCAATGAATCCTCCAAGCCTGGAGGATGGGCAAGAGCATTATTGAGGAGAAGCAGGGCCTTGAGTGGCAAACTGTTCTCCTGCAGATATTTTTCTGGGGGATGGGGGAGACCCTACGGCTCCCCGGAGCTTATCCAGGCTGATATGCTAATGTCGGACTTTGGCATCAGTCATGTGTATGGAGTTCTGTGGCCTACCGGGGACCACGAGCCAGAACCTGGCCTCCTCAGAGAGGCATGGGAAGCAATGGCCTATAGAAACCCCTGTGTGGTTGGAAGCATTCTATGTCTGCCATTGACTGGGTCAGGCACGCAGAAAGGTGTATGTCCCAAAACAAACTGCTATTCTGTTGAAAATTGCTATCAAGAGCCAAACAAATGGATAGAACTACCCAAAAAAAACAAGCAAACGAGCATGACGTCACACGTCGCTGCACCGCTGTCTGCGCCGCTACCCCTCTCCCTGGGAAGGGGAAGGGGAAGGGGTAGCCCCAGACCCCTGTGCTAGCCATCCACAGTTCTGAGTGGCTGGACATCAAAACACACGAAAAACTGCCGACTGGGGGAAGGGATGCTGGGGAGCCTCCAGGCCTCGCTCAGAAAATGGCGTTTCATTACATTCAACACTGGTTTTCTGGGAGGAGCCCCTTAAGCTCCCTGGAGTTAATTACCCACAGAAGCAAAGTAGAGGGACTTACCCGGGAGGCGGTCGCTGCTCACTCCTCAACCTGAAGTCAAGACATCTGGCTGCAACTGCCGACCCAAAGCGACACAGGCCCGTCTAGGCCCAGGAACATTCATGAGGTAGCGTGCAGCCAAGACCTTGTTCGACTGCCAAAAACCCCGTGCCCGAATATCAGCCCAGGACATGTTGCCAAAGATGGCAGCAAGAACAGCGAACGTACGAACGTTATGGGCAAGAAGTTGGATACACCACACATGAACTGCCAGGAGAGCCAAACCCAGAGAACTCAGCAGATGAGTCACCCAA